GCTGCTGAGGCCAGAGCCACAGGATTTTAAAGGACCTGTCTCTGTCGTTTTTACTTTTAGGATTTTGGCCAAATTGGGCGAGGGTACAATATTACCACTTACCCCTTCTCACCGAAGAAGAGCGGGAGAAAGGGTAAGTAAGTATCGCTCAGGGGCGGAAGGAGCCACGACTATTATTCCAGAGGGGAAACTGCTCCTGGGAACTTGGGTCCAAATTCCACTACTTATCAGAAACTGAAGACCCACCTTCAAAGGTCACTGGTCTAAAGCCCAAGCTTTTCTTCAGTTTTCCCAACTCCATAGAGTCGGCTGAAAGTTGAAACAGCTTTGTAGTCACCTGACAGAACTCATTTCCTTTCAGAAACTCTTTAGCCTGGTACATTGATGCTATAGTTCCTCTCTGGTCCCTTGTCTTGCTAGGAAGCATTGGGTGTTAGGTAATCTAGGCTTTGCTTGGTAATTACTCCTCCAGGAATCTTTCTATTTTAAAATCTGCCAACGGGGGAAAGAAGCACATAGGACCCCATAAAAGCAATGGCAATTTCATATACTTAAAATTCTTTTGGGATCTTTCAGAATTGTACAAGAGGATTTGTCCTCAAGCATTCTGTGCTTCTGAAAAGTTATGTTGAAGTCCTGGGAAGTTTACTGAAATTTTCAGTGTCATCTCTTTTCATTGCTTCTTTCCTGAGACTTCTCTATTCTTTCTCCAGTGCACTGCTTCCCTAGCCTCTATGTGGTGATATGAAACACAGCTTCTCTCAGGTTGGAAACCCCCCAGCATTATATATGTCACTGGCAACATTTACCAGTTTAGCTATGAGCAAGAATAGTAAACTATCAGTGTGGATACTTAAAACAAGAAAACATTTCCCTCAGTGGCCATCATGGAGCAGGCCACATCTCCACTGGGCTTCCTTGTTAAGTTGTGGATGTTCATACAATTCATGAAAAACTAGGACATGGTTGTTTATTAATGAGGGACTCTATTTATGATGTCCTTGCACTGTGTTTTGAATGAACACTGATTAAAACGGGATCTGGAGAGCTAGTGGTGGCAGCTCCCTCCTTTGGTCCCAACAGAGCCTGGTGCATCTGTGAGTTTGAGGCCAGCATGGTCTATATAGGGAGCTCTAGGCCAGCCAGGGATACACAGTGAGAACCCCATCTCAAAGACAAAACAAAGCAAACAAAATCCTATAAACAGACAAAGCAGGATGTGCAGAATGAGGCTGTGGGAGATGGCGTTTTTTTTTGGGGGGGGGAGATGGGCCTTTCCCAGGTTTCTGGGGAAGTTTTGAATAATTATGTGTAAATGTGCAAGTTCCTCTGCTGCTGTCTCAGTGGCTTATGGATCTGTAGTGTTGTGTGAGAGCAGTGCTATCATTCCACTTTTCTGGCAGAGTGAGAAGTAAATTCTCAGAGATGACTAGCTATTTGTTTTCCATAATGCCTAGTGTTACAGTCATTTTCCAGTGCACTGAATGTATTGTTCAGGTACAATAACTAGATGAGAGTAATTTTTTTTGAATTGTTCTATAAGAAGGCTTAAAAACAGAGAGACAGCTAAGGATGAATGTACTTAGGAGAGTAATAATGAAGCAAGCCTGCCATGTGTTTCTGAACATTTAACCCTTTTCTTTATTGGCATGAGAATAGGTTAAGGTCAAAATAAAGTTACTTAGGGTTCTCTTACAGGAGTATGAATGTAGAAACTTGAGTCTAATATAAATCCACCTTAGATTTTTAATATTTTGGTATTTACCTTTTCAAGGTGTTGTACCATGTACAAATATTAAATCCCCAGCTTCATGTTAATTAGGCATACTGCTGAGGTATTTATCTGTAGGGAACATGCAATGTAATATATACATTATGTATATGTTACCATTATTTGGTAAAACTATTAAATTTCTTCTTTTGTCCTACTCTTTTGGCTGTGTGCGCCAGTTCTGGATCTCCCTAAAATCCTCATGTACAACTGTCATTCTTTTTATAGTGTTTATTTTTCTGAGGTGCTGGAGGTCACACCCAGGCCCCTGCCCCTGCTCAGCAGCTCCTTTACCACACAGCCTCAGCCCAGTCTCTACACCTTTTCATCTAATTCAAGCTGGTCTTGAACTAGAAATCTTCCTGTTTCAGTCTCCTGAGTTCTGGGATTATAGAAGTGTGCCACCGTCTGGCATAGTTTCTGTGCTCTTAGATGCAACCTTGAATCCTAGTCTTTGTTTTGTTTGCTCTGTCACTTGGGACCAGTTATAGCTGTCTTGTTACTTGATTTGATGCTGCCTAACTAGAGCAAAGAGGACCAACAAAGTAGTGCTTGGCGTGCATGTGCTCACTGCCCTATTTCTCTATCTGTTTGTTGACCATTTTCTTTATTCCTTTAAAAAAAATTATTTGCCAGGCGTTGGTGGCGTACGACTTTAATTCCAGCACTCGGGAGGCAGAGGCAGGTGGATCTCTGTGAGTTTGAGACCAGACTGGTTTACAAGAGCTAGTAACAGGACAGC